ACCGATGACCTGAGTTCGACCTCTGCAACCCACGTGGTGGTGCATATACACCCAGACACGTTCATGTGTACAGAGAGAGGGGGACAGACAGACAGACAGAATAAACACACAAATAAATAAATAAAATAGAAAATATTTTAAAGAGTCAAGGCAGTTGCCTTCTAAAATGGTACTTCCCTGGAAGGCAGCATCTCAAGAAGCTGAACACATGCCTACTGTATGACCCAGTCCCACTCTCACATATGTATGTATAAAGGTTCACATAAAGATTGATGCATAACTGGCCATAGCAATTTTACATATGACAGCTAAACAACAAGAACTAATCCGAGTGCCCATCACCAGGAATATGCATATCAAAAACGTAAGTCAACTTATAGTACAAAAATCAGGCCAATGATTACCAAGGAAGAAGACAGGGGTAATGCAAAGAGACACAGAGATACTCTTGGGGGTGATCGACCCAAGACTTTGATTTTGATGGTGGCTTCACAGCTGTGTCGAAAGTCAGGCAAGTATTATAGAGAACATTTAACTTTACGTTATAAATACGTGTAATTCATTTTATACATCAGCTAGGCTGCCATGAATATGGGGTGATGATTATGTGTGTGTGGATGAGTATGGGCACATGGGATGGTGTGGAAGAGGCAGTCAGAGGATGACCTCAGCATCAGTCTTCACTTCCTCCCTTGTCTGAGACAGGCTCTCTCTGGTCGTTGACTACTATGCACTCCATGCTGGTTGGCCCACGTGCTCACCAACGGTTCTGGCTCCGCCTCCTATCTCACCATGGGAACGCTGAGATTATATGCACGGACTACCATAGCTGGCTTTACCCAATGAGCCAAATGCCCAGCCTAACAAATCTGCTATTAGAGAAGAATATACAGGGTAGGGGCGGGGTTGTGTGTGTACGGGGGGAGCGGGGAGCAGAGCTTCCAGAGACAGGGTAAACATGAAAGATCACACACATATGCCGAAGGAGGAATACCCCATGGCAAAACCATGAAGAAAGCAAAGGAAAGTGTTTTCCACTAGGAAAGGAAGGCACGGAGGTAGCGGGCCCTTAGACTACCCCACCTGGTTAGGATCTAGGGAGTTCCCTGAGTAAGAAAATGAGTGGGCGGTACTGAACTGAAGTCCAGAGATAGATGCCCGGGAAACCTGCATGGCCCACTGCATGGGAAGGCTGTTAAGAGACGGAAGATGAAATGTCTTGTTTCCCTCAGGACCATCCGCACCAGTTCTCCAGAATAAAAAACAGGCAGGGAGATAAGAATTTTAGATTAACACGGACTTCCAGGATCGAGGAGGCTCCACCACCAATGTCCAGAACTATCTTTAGTCTGTATCTGGCCCTTCAGCTCAAGTTCATCAACAACTAGCCCATCCAGGAGGGAAGACAGGCCTCGGCAGGACAACACACGGGCAGGTCCAGTCTGGCGAGAGATGGCGCTCTCAGGGTAGTTGTGATCGTGAGGTAGAATTCTTGAGGTTCCTCACATGCGACAAGCACAAGGTGAGCCAGTGGAGGAGATATGACTGCAGAATACTTTAAACTTGCTGCTGGGGTTGGACCACCAGCCGTGATGGAGGTCTGTGAAGGTGTCTCCATCTCTAAGATGGTAGTCTCAATCGTAAGGTGAGGGCTTTGGTTAAGGTCTGAGGTGTGTGGTTGCTATAAATATTTCTCCTTTCATTGGATAGATAAGAACCTCAGAGGATCAGGAGGTGTGGCCTTGGCGGAGTAAGTGTGTCACTGGGAGGGGGCTTTGAGATTTCAGAACACTACTGCCATTTCACGTTAGCTCCTTCTGGCTCCCGCTTGTGGTAACAGATCTGCCATCACAGGCTCTAAACCTCTGGGTCCACACACTCAAAATAAACTCTTCTACAAGTCACCACCGTGTTTGACCACAGCAACAGAAAAGTAACCATACAGTGGCTTACAGTCATCCGTAATCCTGTTAGAGGCGATCCCATCCATACCCTCTTCTGTGGGCACCAGGCATGTTCATGCTACGTCATGTATACGTCGCAGGCAAAATAGTCAGACACATAAAATACAACAATAAAGCCAAAAAAAAAATTATTCTAAACAATTCTCAATCCAAACCAAAGATGTGTGGTAAGATCCCTATACTTCTTTCAGCTAGATTTCTTTTTTCTTCTCTCTCTCCCTCTCCCTCTCCCCCTCTCTTTGATACAAGATTTCTCTGTGTAGCCCTGGCTGTCCTGGAACTTGCTCCATAGACCAGGCTGGCCTGAAACTCAGAGATCTGCCTGCCTCTGCTTCCTGAGTGCTGGGATTCAAAGCATGAGCCACCAGGAGCTACCAAGATTTCCGAGAGACCCCAAATAGTGGGGACTTAGGAACAAGAACAAAGAGAACAGAGCAAAGGTGTGAATAGGGGGTGAGGGGTGCTGCCGGGGTGCTGTAGGGAGGGTGGTCAGGCACAAGCTCTCAGAGCTGGTGAGAGCTGAACTGAGTCTGGAAGAATCAGAGGAACCAAACCGATTACTCAACCAAAGGAGTAACTGCAAGGACAGATGGTGAGGCGGCTCCTGGAGCCCCTGGTAAAGAACCTTCCCTTCCCTGTGCACCTTCCCCTCCTGCGCATGGATGCACCCAGGCCTATGAATGTGCTGACACACAACATTCTAAAGGGCACCAAAACACCGCTGGACTAGACCGTCTCCCTCAAGGCAGGCCTTCTACACCAACTATTGACTGTTCTTAGGTTCCTGTACTTATGGTTGCTTGTTCCAGGCAATGCTAAAGAGGATGTAAGTGGTGTTTTTAAAACTTTTCCAACAGGAACCCACAGTAACAAACTCTAGACCATCACACAGTGCATAGACAAAGGTAAAGTCAGAGAAACCAGCGCGCTTTCTGTGGTTGCGGATGCACGCACTACAATGCTTCTAAGCATTATGGTAATTTCACGGATAACTTAGTTTGAAAGCACCAATCTAAGCAAACATGGAGTAACAGCTTTATCCAAACACAAACCAAAACCAGCCTGTGAAATGGTTCAGCAGGTTAAATCTCCACCATGCCTTGTGTCCAGTGCTTAATCCTCAGGGTCTACGTGAAGAAGGAGCAGATTCCCAAAGGTTTGTCTATGACCTCTACATGTGAACCTTGGCACACACATCCCATATATATATATATATATATATATATATATATATATATATATATATATATATATATATATGGAGTGGGTATATAGCATATAATACATAATATATATATATATATATATATATATATATATATATATATATGGGAACTTTTTAAAAAATAAAAACGCAATGACTTCTAAAAATATCAAGCAGGAATATTTTTAGGAGAGCTGGGGGCCTGGGAATCTGGGTAATTAGGAGGAAGAAACTCCAAATTGTTGATGAAGTGAGTGGGTACCTTAGGTTCTAGAGATGGGCCCAATGATGAAGCCACAACCACAAGAGCATGTGTGAGCACTGGGATGAGAAGGCTGTCAGGCAAGCCTTTAAATGTCAAGTTCTCACAGGGCAGACAGCCTTCCCGTATCTCTCCTTACCAGAATCTCAGCCCAGTTACAGCCATGTATGTAACTGCTGATCTTCAATCAATGCTCAAATCCTGGGAATTTAATAGGGAAAGATGTTTCCTTTTGCCAGGGACAAGAAAGAGCAGTGGCTGTAATGGAAAGATTCCACGTCTGTTAGTGAGACATGGTAAACTTATAAACAGCTGGGATTATTAATTTAATAGGTCATCCCTCAAGGGACGCTCACCAATGGGCTCTGTCAACCAAGGGCTCTAACTGACAGAAAGCGTGCCAATTCCTCTGTGAGACCCTGTTACCACCCTCACCCCTGAAGTCAAAAGTGCACGCACCCAATTTCCAGGAGCCCGAGAGATTCAGAGTGGCCAAATTACACCTGCAAGGCAAGCGTTTGCCTACACTGCCACACAGCTGCCACACACAGAAAGCAGCTCATTTAAACTGTGCCCTTCAGCCCTATTTAGGGATATCACTAATGATTTCAAATTACAACTGTTGCTTTATCTCAAACAGTGATAAAAAGGGGGAGCTACATTCTTGATGTTCTTCCTTTGAGTCATTTATCTGCTCTCCTCTCGGGCAGAAAGAAAAAAAAAAAAAAAAGATGTTGAGACAAGTACAAACCTGCCTGAGCTTATTATAGATGCAGCCCTCCTTCTCTCCCTCCTTCCCCTCCACGCCGGCACCCCTCCCTGTCTGGCTTTTCCTGAATTGAGGCAGTAGCCTCCGGTAAGGAACTATAAGTGGTTCTTTTATCAAAACAAGAAGGGATTCGCCGACAGGGAGTGAGTCAGGCAACAGAGGCAACAGCCCCCTCCCTCATTCTGGCAGTTCAATTCACCCGGTCCCTCCAGGTCAGCAATCGCTCAGGTTTCATGGAAGAAAGTCAGGAGGGCCTTTAATCCATCCAAATCCAGGAGCCGGGATGGAACACACCCGGTTGCCAGATCTGAGGTGTGGGCCGGCGACTGCGTGCATGTGCACAGGCGTGCACAGGCATAGCCCGGCTGAGGGCGAGACGTGAGTGAAACGCTGGAAGACCCACCAGGATGGACAAAGCCACAACTATTACAGTGTGAAATAGCCCCCGCAGGGGCTGGCTTCGGCGAGGAAATCTCCCTAGATTTATTTTCAGGCAAGTGACTCACAACCTAGTCTCCATAAGTAATTCCATCAAAATGAGTCGCTGGTTCCTCCAGCCCGACTTTCCGCTGCCCTCTGGCTGCCCCTCCCTTCTCTCCGCCCATCCTGTAAACCCAGACAGCTCACAGACAGCAAGCGTACCCCAGGGGAACAGGAGGCAGGCTCTCCGGCCCAGCCCCCACCCTTGGGAAAGGATGAATGGGGCCACCACCGGCGGGAGCGCGGAGAAGGGGCGTGTGGGCTGCGCGCGAGGTGTATACGCGGGTGTGCGCGCGTGGGCACGCACCCGGGCCAACTTACAGAGGTGGAGTTGGTCCTCGCCTGACCCTGGTTTCGCACCTCCTGCTCCCGGAACTGCAGCCCGGCCAGATGCTTTTCCAAAGCCTCCCAGTCCATCGGGGGCACCGGGGGCTCTTCCGGGACGCACGTCCCACCGTCCGGAGGCTGAACGCAGAGCCCCCCAGCTGCCCGGCTTCGGCCTCCGCGCCGGCTCCCGGGAGGCTGGGTCTTCTGGATGGCTCGGCGGGGAGCCCGGGAGGTGCTCGGCCGGCTGGCCACAACCACGTTGCCATTGTGCCTGAGGTCTTGGGGGTCGTGCGGGTGGAGGTTGCCGTTAGGCATCGGGGACGGCATGGTGGTGGTGGCGCTCTTGCCCTCGCCGCCGCTGCTGCAGATCCTGGCGCTCACGTCCCCGGGCTCCCGGGCCGGACAGCGGTCATCCCGATACCCTCGATCGTCCTCCTCTTCCTCCTCCTCCCCGTCCTCCTCCGGAGCCCACTCATCAATCACCTTCTTCTGGTAGACCGGGAAGGGCTCCTCATAGTCCTCCAGAGCAGACACCAAGTCCAGGCTGCCCCCCGGCGACGATGAGGATTTGCACTCGGAGCAAGGGGTCACTTTGGTGGAGTTGGACTGTGAGCTGGCGCGGCTGCTGCTGCTGCTGCCGGCGTCACTGCCTAGATCCATCCCATCCTCTCGGTAATCCTGCGGGGAGGAGGCAGAGATAGTGAGTGGCCGGGTCGAGCCTGCTCCGGCCGCCCGCTGCCCGCCCCGACCTCCCCGCGCGCGGCGTCCGCCTGCCGTGAGGTACGTTCTCCCTAAGAGGCCTGGGGGCGGGAGCCAGCAGCAGCCTGAGCTGCCCCCACCCTTCCCCGCACAAGTTGACTTCCTCCGGGTAACTAACCCGCAGATTAGCAAAGGGGTGCGCAGCCACGGGCACGCACTTTTCACCCTCCTAGCCTAGGGGCGCGCGCGGACTTAGTGTTAACCATTTTGCGCCAGGCGCGTCCTAGCACTCCGCCCCAAGGATTCTCCCAGACACTTTCCCACTGAATTCCGATTCCCTGGGGGCGGGACCCGAGAAGAGGGAGGTTAGAAACTGATTTCGCACCTCGCTGGGGCACTGGGACCACCCCCCACCTGGCCCCGCCCCGCCCCGCCCCCTCCCGCCAGCCGCCCGCAGCCCCGCGCCGGGCGAGCTCAGCTTTACTTTCTAAGGAACCGCAGTAGTCGCAGGGCGCATCCCGCCTGCGCGCCTCCTCGGCCGGTCCCTCTCGGGAAGGATGGGCACGGGGGGCGCTCTCGGCCCACTCCCGGCAGGATGGCACCCCTCAACTCCCGCTTCCGCCAAAGGTGTGCGGGGCCGGGACGCAGCGATAGTCGCTGCAGGCGCCGCCGCCCTGGGGGAGGGAGGACGCGCCCTCCCGGCGGCGGCGGCAGCGGCGGCAGAGCCGGTCCCGCCACGGAGCATGCCCAGAGGCTGCGGGGTGCGGCGCAGTCCGCTCTCCCGGTTTTCCCCGCCGGAGGCTGGAGCTAGAGGCCGGCTAGGAGAGCTCGGAAAGGCCGGAGGGCGGCGGGCGGGGACTACGGGCGCTAGGCTTGCCGACCTCACCGAGTGTAAGCCGCGCCCTGGGGAGGGTGCTGTGTGCGTGATCGCACCTCAAGGCCTCTTCGCTGGCTTCTTTACCCACCCAAAGCCTCCTGGAGGGCCGCGCGGGCCCGATGCCTCTCAGTCCACGCGGAAGTCCCCAAGTGACCCTAGAAAGGACCTCCTGTCCCCCTCACAAGCAAAAACACAAGCCGTTTGGGAGCTCAAGTGACCGGTGCCCAGTGGTCAGGCCCATCATTTCCTTTCCACCTTCCCCCCTTGCCGCTTCCTCTCCCTTCACCGCGCCCTGGTATCCACTTCCAAGTTCAGGCAGTGGGTGGAACCTGTTGCTTTTGCTCACGTTTCCTTCCCCTTCCCAGCGACACTGAGGATGACCTCAGCGAGGTGCCTATACGGCTATGGGGTGGGGGTGGGGGATGGGGTAGGGGTGAGCTGGGACTGTTATCTGGAGTGGAGGTCGGGAAGTGGGGTGGAGATTTATCTTGAAGGTGGGGGCCAAACATCCCTTCCGACCGAAGGGATCCAGAAGAGTAAAGAAGAGGGAAAGACAGTCCTGAGTGTTGGTGCCCCTGGCACGCTGGCTGGCTTTGCTTCCTTGATTTTTTTTTTTTCTTCCTCTTCAGGAAATTGAATCAAAGACCATCTATGGGGGAGTTTTCCAGAACCACACACGAGCTACCTGAACTTGCCAACCCTTCTCTAGGAAGAGGGTTGATGTGAAAATATTTGCTTGGGAAATGTAGATGGGCTGCGGAATACCTTTTAAGGACTAAAAAATTCCTCTGAGCAGCTTTGCCCTGTGAGAAGTGATTTAGGAAATGCCCTCCTCTGCAGTGAGGATGAAAGAATGCTTAACTCTGCAATGGAATGGAGACAACCAGTTTCTTTGGACTTCCAGATTTAGGGCTGTAACTAATTCATTCCAGCAGGGTTAGTCTGGACCAACCCCCCACCCTTGCTTGGCACCTTTCAAATGGAGGAGCAGAAGCATGCTTGGGATTCTTTGGTAGGGAGAGGCTGCCACCCTGGCCATTTAGGCTCTGGTGGGGACTTGGTGCCTAGACCCTTTGTCTCAGTGATTTCCTCTCCTTAGCTAAGCCCCTGGCCAGGAAATGTAAGCAACCCTTTTATTTGACTTGTCTGGAAGCAACCATCCTGTGAGTAACAGGAAAAGAGGCCTTTCTGGTCTGGCTTAGCTCCTCAGTCGGGAGCCACTGGTTATGACTTAACGTACAATTCACACTAACATCTGTAAACAGCCTGCTTAGGGGCCCAGATATGGTGTGCTATGAGGTTGCCTTGGAGTGCTGGCTGCCACTGAGGGGTATGGAGGAGGTCCTGTATTCTGTGACATGCATGGGTGCATGGGAAGATCACCATGGGCCATGGCAAAGCTGAGATCAAGAAAGGCCACCTAGAGGGCTGGAGAAATGGCTCAGTGAGTCAAGTGCTTTCTGTAAAAGCCAGGATCTGGGTGCTCTCCGTAACCCCAGCATGCGGGGGTGGGGGGTGGGGCGGTAGGAGGTGGAGACATGCAAGATCCCTGATATTGAGAACCAGGCTACACCAAACTGCAAGTCCTAGGTTCAGAGAGAGACCCTGTCTCAAAATAACGAACTAACTAACTAAATGAATGAATAAATAAGGTGAAGTAGCTGAGGACAGCATCCTGATGTCAACCCCTGGCCCCACACATTCCTACACAGGCAGGTATATCTGCATGCCCATGTGTGCACGCATGCAGATACCACACACATACACAGAGCTAGCTGCTCTGTGCCAGATGCATGTGGACACATACTGATCCGTTGGGGGTGACAGGAGCATTGTAGGGACAGTCCGGTTTTTAAACAGTAGGGCCTCTGGAGCCACCCACCCACACAGCTGGGGCACTTTACTCCACAGCTGCTCAGACGGTCTGTGGTCAGGAAGTGGAAAACAAAACCTAAATGAAACATTTGGCAAGGTAAAGGCGCTGCCAAAAAATGCATGGTATTTTCAAAGCCAACTATAAACACCTTGGAATTATCTGTAATTTCATTTTCTTTTCTGACCAGATAAACTGGATCAGATCGGAAGTACGCAGTTTTCTTTTCCCCACTTTTCATGGAAAGTGCTTGGCCAGGCCAGTTACCCTTCTGTTTCCAGCCTGCCACCTCCTGCCAAGAACCCTCCCACTTTGGAACAGGAAGGCCTGCCAGCTTCAAGGCTGCAATAGTTAGTAGCTAGGTCCAGCAGGATGGAGAAATGATTTGCAAAGTCTTGTCTTCCTCTGTAGGGAGCCTTTCTCAGACATCAGAGATGTAGGACAAGAGAGAGTCCTACATCCAGAACCTTCCCCACCAACCCAGTGTGCTGGAAGAGTCAATCCCTCTGGCATGCCCACTGCCCTCACCCCAAGTATGCAGCCAAGAGTAGCCGTCTTCCTAAAAGTGCAGATCTCTCCCTGACTACCAAAACTCCACGATGGCTGCCTCTAAAGAACCTGCTTCCCACGACTTCCAGCTTATTTTGACAATTTTTATTCATCCCTAGTCTCAGCCAACATGCCACTTCCTCCTGGATGGTTTGACTGCTTTGACCTGCTCACCTGGGTCAGAGGACATTCTCTTGAGCCCACGGCATTCACTGCCGTGTGACGCACATTGTCAATGATGCTGTTTAATCACTTTGCTTCTCCAATAGCCTCAGAGTAAGAACTACATTTTATGTTAAAGCTCAGGTCACACATCTGTATAAAAATAAGTGTATGTAGCCGGGCAGTGGTGACCCATGCCTTTAATCCCAGCACTCAGGTGGCAGAGCCAGGTGGATCTCTGTGAGTTCAAGGCCAGCCTGGGCTACAGAGAGAAATCCAGGATGAGCACCAAAACTACACTGTCTCAAAAAACTAAATAAATAAATAAGTGTACGTTTCATGAAACACTTGCTTTGTGAAAATCCTGTTCTAGGGTGCTAGAGGTATAGTCAGCGATTAGAAGAAGGCTGATCTAGCGTACCAGAGGCCCTGAGTTCGATCCCCAAAGCCATCTGAAATGGGGTAGTGGTAACACTGGCTCAGGTGGAAGCTGTTTTGACTCATCCCTGGCCTCAACCACTTGGGTTCCAAATTTTAGACACCCGTCTCAAAAATATTGTTCTAACTTATGTAAAACAAAGCCTAGCTATATCTTTATACTTTGCTATGGTGACTTTAAAATCCTTAAGTGGGATGGGGTTCCAGTGTGGAAGAGGAAAATACTCTGAACTCCATGGACAGTTGGGCTGTGAAAAGAATAAAAGCTTGATAGACATTTGATGTTGGCGTTATTATTAATACTTTCTAACTCATATGATCCTCAAATTTTCCACGGTGAGACTATTTTCCTACTCATTTGCATGTGAAGACGTCAAGGACAGTGATACTGAGTCATTTGCCCAATGTCCCAGACTGGTGAGGCAGGTGGCTGAGCCAGGACTTAACACTGAGTAGTTTGGATTTAGGATTCTTATTCCCTTATCTACAGGCTTAGTAGCTCTTGGTCCCGTGTGGATCGATTTACTAGGGGAAAAAAAAATCTCAGAAAGGGTCTCCTTGTAGCATCCTCAGTCTATCGCTCTGTCTCCTACTTGGAAAGGCTCCGAGGGCTGTGTTTGTGTCTGTGTCTAAGGCATTGGCAGGCACAGTCCTTGGCCTCTCTAAGTTCAGCAATATTCAACAAATTAGAGATTAAGGTGTAAAAGGAGGAGTATAGGGGCCGGAGAGATGGCTCAGTGGTTAAGACTGTTTGCTGCTCTTGCAAAGACCCTGGATTCCATTTCCAGCATCCACATGGTTACTCACAGTCTCTTTAACTCCAAACACCCACGTCTGGCCTCCAAGAGCATGGCATGTTCAAGGTACACATACATACAGGAAGGCCAAATACCATGTTGCTGTTGGTACTGTGTGTTAAGTTCTTCCCCTGTCTCCTAAACAAATCCTTTAAGGAGGAAGCCATCCAAGGTCAGTTTGGGGTATTCATTTGTCAGGGACTGGAAACTGGATTCATACTCAAACAGTGGGGCTGGAACGGTCACACCCCTCAGGGCTAGTCCCGTTTCCAGGATTTTAATTTGTAGGGGCAGCCTCTGAGCAAAGATATGATTGACATGAGTCGTAAGGAAGGAAAGGATCATTTGTAAAATCTCCATGCTAATTCTGGAATGATTAGCCCTGACACGGAACCTTCTTTATATTGTGGCATGTATAGGAAAAAAAGAGCTGGCTAGCAAAGGGTCTGTGTTTCATCGTTATTATGTGAATTCCATGCAAGTCACACACAGGACACAGATGTTCGGCTGTTTCATCACCTGTGTGTAGCTGTGGGGATATGGAACAGCTCTGTAGGGCGAAGTGTCCTAGATGTGGAACATCTGGGCCTTGTTCCCAGCCCAGTCTCTAAACAACTTTATGACCACAGCTTGTAGATGAAAGAGGATGGACTGCATGTTGAGGGCATTTGGCAAACAGCAGAGATCGGTTAACTGTCTGGAAGTAAATGAGCTTCTTCCATTCTAAAGACCCTAAGGATTTCATCCCAGAAAAGATGGGAGAACGTGGTGTAAAAATGTCTCTCAGTCCTTTTATCACCTTCCTTATCAAAAGATATCAAATTCGTTTCCTGCATCAATCTAAAACCAAAGTATATGTCTGCTCAGCAGGTAGAGCCCCTGGGGTGCATGGCACGTCCACAAGGAGTCAGTTTTCACTTACTAGCCTATCTGTGCATACATTTTGGAGATGGAGCCCCAAGTATATCTAAGATTATATTTCCTTTTTCCCACCAATGACAGTGCTATACTTTAATAGAAAAATTAATTTAAAACTCACCTCTTGGGCCAGCAATAGATGGCTCAGAAGATATAGGAACTTGCTACATAAACCTGGCAATGTGTTTGCTCCTGAAACACATGTACATGTGGAAGGAGAGAACCAAAAAGTTGTTCTCTGACTTCCACACATACATCCCCCTCACCACACACATATAATTATAATAAAATAAAAGTTAAAATATACATCTTAAAGGTGTTGATTCTCCATTAAACGATGTGATTGTTCATTATACATTCTTCAATGACTAGAGCTAGACCAAATAGTACTTACAAAATAGATCCAGTGACATGCTTTCCAAATCTGATCCCAGGGTCCCTAGACTGATGGACAGTTTGGCTCTTATAGAAATGGGGAGCATGTGTGTTTATCAGGAAGATTACCCAGCATGGTTTGTAGGTATCAGTGAACAAAAAAGGCTAGGCTCAGCAAAGATAGCATCTTTATCAGAGAAAAGTCACATAAAGATGTCCATCAGGCCCTCACCTGCACAATAGGTCCCTGTCGGGGGAACCACTTGGCACTGTTCACATAGATGTAGAAGTCCAGGGCACCTTCTGGGAATGTGCATTGTGCAATGCACACAACAGTATCCAGAGGCCCTGCTGAGATTCTGTTAGTAGGAACTTTGCTCTCTTTTGATGAGAACAGGAGAGGGAGCTTCTAATAAAGGAACGAACAAGTCAACTGCTTAAACTTTATTTTTGCAGAACTTTTCTGCCATCATCTTCCACAGTCTTAAAGTCCACAGGAGTTTTGAAAAGGTAAGTCTGGAAGCAACCCTGAGCTTTTTTTTTTTTTTTTTTTTTGAGCTTCACTAGGAGGTGTAATTTAGGACAAGCTGGGGAAGGTTGTCGGTCACTCGGTTACTCGATCCAAGGGCTCACAAGGGCATCCCGAGTGACAGGCACAGAAGCCTCTGTCATTTGACCCCAGGACAAGATAAGCTGCCTCTTTAAGCCTTTGGTTTCTCTGTCTTAAGCATACTGAAGAGCATCTTTGCAGGAGGCTCAGGGAGGTGAGAACTCTGTTCTTGTCACTTCATGATCCGACTTGGCTGCTGGCATTGCCATAGACAGTGGTCACAGCTTGGAGAGCAGGAAAGAACTTTGCCAAGAGCCTTGGCACTGGATGTAAGCATCCCTGCATTTACAGACAAGGCAGTCCCTGCAGCTCCCTGGCCCAGTGGCAACATGTGAAAGGGAACTGTATGAAATTGTCTGAGCCTAGAAACTGCCGAAGCTTCATGTGCAAAAGCATGGAGTGAGCACTAGGGCAAATGGGAAGGCCAGGGCAGAGTTAGCTGCAGGGCCTGGCATACAGGAATGCAAGTTTCAAACTTAACACCAAAAGCAGGTTTATTCTTTTTACCCATCACTGGATGGCCACTTGAACCTCAGCTCTAGGCACCCAGAATTTGTCTGTAAAATCAGAGCTGAGGAACTGGCATCTTATAAGACTAGTGTGGCTGGTCCTGCTCCCTCCCTGCTGTCTTGAGGGGCTGGTCCTGCTCCCTCCCTGCTGTCTTGAGGGGCTGGTCCCCCTCCATCCCTGCTGTCTTGAGGGGATGGTCCCCCTCCATCCCTGCTGTCTTGAGGGGATGGTCCCCCTCCCTCCCTCCTGTCTTGAGGGGCTGGTCCTGTTCCATCCCTGCTGTCTGGTGTGGACAGTCCTGCTTCATCTCTGTTGTCTTGCCCTAATTGTCAACACTAAGTTTTCATTCTCCAAAGTGTCCCAGCCAACTTAGAAGGTGATTGTCAAGGGCTAAGTGAACTTTGGGAAAGATGTTCATTTTATCCAAATCTGCCCAGAATTTCAAATGAAGGTATGCATGTTTGGTGGCATTGCTTTGTCAATTGAAAGCTACTTGGTTTAAATAAGCTCCCAAACATTTCAACAAAAATGTCTCAATAAAAATAATGTGTAGTAAATTTAAAAATCAGAAAATACCTAAGAGACTGCTAATGTTTGGAGTAATAGATGAATTCATAAAATTCATAAAGAAAGGCATAATTATTTGTTTTGTTGTGAGACAAGGTCTCACTGTGTAACTCTGGCAGGTCTGGATCTCACTATGTAGAATGGGCTGGCCTCAAACTCACAGAAATCCACCTTCTTCTGCCTGAGTGCTGGGATTAAATGCATGCACTGCCATGCCTGGCTACAACTACTTGTATTAAAAATCTAATAGAAGGGTGGAGGGATATCTGAGTGGCTAAGAGGACCTGGGCTTGATTCTTAGCACATGGTGCTTCACACCCCTCTGTAACACCAGTCCCAGGGGACCTGATGACCTCTTTTGGTCTGCAGGGCACATATGTGGTACACAGCTATACAAGCTGGCAAAGCACCATGTACATGACAAATAAGTAAATAAAAATGAAAAGGTGGTAGAAAGCATGGATTGAAGCTATTTGAATCTCCAGTTTGTCAAATAATATTCTGAAGCTCTAGGTTTGTTCCCTAGGACACAAGGAAAGAAAGAAAAAGAGAACCAGCCTAGAGTGAGGGAATTCATCTCTTTGTTTTCTACAGGAAGCAGACTGGGCAGAAAAGGTCAAAAAGAGCAATATCTTAAAAGCTTATGTGTTTTTAATGGGAAATTGATTCTATGCAAATTTGTCAAGGAGTTGGCATTTTAACTTTCTGGGCTAAAAAACTAAAGGAAAGGGTAAAGAAAAAAAATGAAGTGGAAAAATCTTTTCATTTTTCATCTTTTAAATTTGGGGGGTCATGAGAGGAAATGGCACACCTTTGTGTAACTTTCTGAACTCAGTTGTTCAAGGTGAGAACATGGAAGCCACTCTGCCCCCCTCCCTTCCAGTCACACCACCACATGGAGTTTGAGCTACTTTTGCTCCAAGTTGGCCTGGATACCTACTCTGCAGCCACTGATACCGACTCTGCAGCCACTGATACCGACTCTGCAGCCACTGATACCGACTCTGCAGCCACTGTGCTTGGCCCTGGGACTCTCAGCTCTCCTCTAGGATGGGATTTATTCTGTGCCTCCATCAGGCCCAGAGCAGACTTTCTGATTACACATCCCACTTAGCACCTCCTCCCTTACTGTTTCTCAGCACACCACCTGCACCAAATCCCGAATCCTGACATCGAGACACAGACAAAGACCGGCATGGTGGTGGCGCACTCCTTTAATACCAATACTTGGGAAGCAGAGGCAGGCGGATCTCGGAATGAGATCTTGTCAAAAAAAAAAAAAAAAAGACACCAAGACAAAATTAATTTATCAGCTACACATATATGGCTGTGTGTGTGTGTGTGTGTGTGTGTGTGTGTGTGTGTGTGTGTGTGTGTGTAGGGACACTTGTCTGTGTAGGCATACATGGAGGCCAGTGGACAACGTCTAGTGTCTTCTATTGCTCTGCACCTTGTCTTTTAGACAGAGCCTCTCACTGTACCTGAAACTAGCTCACTGTG